GCCATAGAAAATTCGCTAAATGGCATGCCTCGAATTCTAAGGATTTAAAATTAATTAAATGAGGGCCATGAGTTTTGATGTTTTATTGTGGATGGAGTGGTATAAATTGATAAGTACAAAAGGCCTAAAGAAATGGGTTAGCTACATGTATATCACCGGAGCCTTTTGTTATAACATACTACAATTAAGAAAAGTAGAGTTGGCATTTATGTGAAAATAACAAAAGACAGGTGTCAGCTTTGGGTTCATCTCCATATCATCTTCAAAAGACCGACTTTTATTTTCAAATTCTAGAAAGAAACTAACAAAGTTTTATAACAAAATAATGAATCTTAAATGACCATATGAGCACAAAACAAAAAACAACATGCTGAGAACTATTCGGATGAACCAGAAGGAACAAAACAAACATGGACATACAAAAATGCATTTTAAACTTGATTATAACAAAGAACACTTAAAGTAATTAATTTATTTAACACTATGCTAAAGAGAAAGTTGTAGTATCACCACTATAACTTCTATAGTACCATTTTGAAGCAGAGGAAGTTGAATCTTCACATGGTTAATTTAAGAAAATATGCAGCCAATAACATAAACTGAAGATAAGATCCTTCCACTAACGCAATCTATTTTTTTTTATATCTTAACGTTGACAAATTGTTCAACTTCACATACTTCTTTAAATTTTAAAATATGAACATGGTGCTATATGAGCTTGAAATCTAAATGTAAATAAAACAATACCTGCTGGTTACAAGTCATGAGCCAAGAAAAATAATAAAAAAAGTAAAGAAAAAAAGAAAGAAAAAATGAGACAGAATCATAAACATACTAAAATAACGTTAACATTTGCAAATCTCAATTCACTCAATCAAAGAAACATCATTCATGCGAACAGATTAAATACGAAAGAAACTTTATCAAAAGAACCAAATCAATTTGCTTCTGCTTCAATAAAGATGCTCCGACATTTTTTAACTCAAGAGCTTGAATTACATACCTACAAGAGAGTGAATTCAAATGAATAAAATCTGAAAGTTGTAGAGTCAATACAACAGCAACAACAAAATCTCTATCAACTCTTCTTCAAACCCAAGATTCAAGGCCCGAAATATTGAAAGAAACATTTAATGAAAATTTTCAACCTAAATTTCTCTCCTCCCCCTCTCTTTTTTTTTTCTCCTTTCTTCTCAAATTTTTTCTTCTATTTATAGCAAAATTTTCGAGATTTTTCAGATTTTTTTTTAAAAAAATATTTTATTATTTTATTATTTTTTAATTAAAAAAAATCCCACTTACAAATTGCTTTTATTTTTTTTATAAAAAGAATCTCACCTTTCTTTACTTTTATTTTTTAAATTCCAACTTTAATTACTTTCATCTTATTTAAAATCCCACCTTTTTACTTTTTAAAAGAGAATTTCACTTATTTAACTTTTCTTAAAAAAACAATCCACTTTCTTTTGCTTTTCTTTTAAAAATACTACTTTCTTTTACTTTAAATTTTTTTAATTTTCAGATACCTTTATATTTGTTTTTTAATTCCAACTTTCTTTTACTTTTATTTTTTTAAAATTTCCACAAAATTTTACTTTTATTTTTTAGTTTTCTACTTTCTTTTACTTTTTAAAAGGGAATTCCACCTACTTTTCTTTTCTTTTTTTCATTCAATACTTCACTTTTTCTTATTTTTTAAATCACTTCTGAAAATTAAAAAAAATTAATATTTTTTCGGAATTCTTTTATTATTTTAAAATAAAAATAAAAATAAATTAATAGTAATAGTAATAATTCACCTTTTAAATTTTGTATTTTTACCCTATAATAAAAAGTGTAACAAAGCTAAAAATTGTAGGTTAAAACCCCTAAAATATTTACATAGAAGAAGTGATAAAATATTAAATATTATCAAAAATTAAGTGCTCACACTCCCAAGTAAGCCTCATCGGTAATTTTACAGAAAATCGGGCAGAGTTTCCCCTGTTTTTGGACCATCACAAAAAAATTTCCTGTCTTAAATCAACAACCAAACATCCTAATATCATACCAAACAATTGACAATTTGTCAATTAACCAATACAAGTCTCCACCATAACTAAATCACCAAGTAACCACTAGAAATACTAATTTATCTCCAACTTCGATAAATGAGAACAATACTCAACATAAGACTATAATAACAAAAGAATACTCATGACACTAAAATACTGTCTATGGAGCAACTCTAAGAGTTCAATGGAAAGACCATAACAATAAATAAAATCTCTACCCACGCGAACAAGTGCGAGGTTCACCAAGAATTCTAAATCTGTGCGCTCTAATTAACGAGATCCTCGCCTGCATCAGCTGTTGTCTCTGTAAAAAAATTTAGTGGGGAATGAATCGCTAGCTCAGTGAGTAATAACACTTAACCACAACCGTTTTTATTTGGGGACAAGTCAGAAAACATGCTAGTATCTCAAACAAATAATATCAAAATGCCCTTTCAGAAACAATAAATAATTTCCAGTCTCATCATACTTTTCTTGTAGTATAATACAATTAACAGTTCAGTAATAAGCTCCGTAACCACTGTATAATATCAATATTCACATTTTTGGGAGGTTTCAATGAACGGATCATGTATTCGGTATAACTATGGACTTCTTTGCAAGAAGTCATATATAACGGTAGTCCCTACTCGAGGGAAATCGATAACGATATGCTAGTTCTACCTTCCCACTAGCGAGGGCTATAACAGTAATCGGTAATTACAAGGTGCACCATGTCTAACGAACCCGCCGTTAGCTACAGGATCCTTCAATGTCTACTCCCATTTATACTTGTCTCTGTAATCCGCATATACTCGTAGAAAATAATTTAAAACAATATAGGGCATTTCAGTATTTATCAAATCATGTAATTTCCTTTCGATAACAGTAAATTCAAGAAACGGTCAAACAGATCTAGTGACACGAAAATATTTAAAACCACGGTATTATCTCAAATAACTATTTCGGTATCATATCGAGTAAAAGACTTGTCCCACATGCAACTCAAAATAATCAGTAACATATTCATATTAAAAATCAAGTGTAAATCATACAAGTTATGAAAACACAAATTGCGATAAGATTACTACTCACAGTACTCGTGCCGAAATACCAAATGCTTCACCTCGAGCAATTCGTAAAAATTCCTCCAATCAATCTATAATTACATAATATCAATCTCATGTTAATTTCCTTGTTTAGGCTAATTCATAGCTAATTTAGAATACCCAATCATCGGGGTTCATGTTTGGATCTTAATTTGTGGACTTATATTTACCCCCATATGAGTAATTACTAATTTATCAACTCCAACCTATTCATATAATTTATTACTCCAAATTTCATAAAGTTCTATTGGTTCTTTAGGAAGAAAATTCTCAATTGTGTGAATGAACTAGTGTAATTTTTATTACTGTGTAGAATCTTCCAAGCAAGAGAATCAAAATTAAAATCTACCAGAAGAAAAAGTTCAAGTAATACCCGTAAGAGACAATTTGTATTTAAGATTCCTCAACAGTTATAGCTTTGGCTCCAATACACTGCACCCACTTCTTCCTCCTTCTTTTCTCTTTTCCTTCTTTCTTCCTCTGCTCTTTTTTCCTTTTCGTTTTTTTTCCGATGTTTCGAAGCTTTCTGCTTCGTTTCGAAGTTAATAAAACTTTCTGCTTCGTGTTGTTAACCCTTTTCAAAGCCTTTGTTGGCAGGTAAGGGTAATGGCCCCCTTTCGGCCCTTTTTTTTTGCTTTTCTTATATTTTTTTTTAATATTAGTTCTTATTTTATTTTTAATAGATGGTTTATTATTATTATTATTATTATTATTATTATTATTATTATTATTATTATTATTATTATTATTATTATTATTATTATTATTATTATTATTATATTATTATTGTTATACTAATGACCAATACACCCTTATTAAAAATATAGAGTATTACATCCTCCCCACCTTATGAAATTCGGTCTCCGAATTTAGCTCAGGTACGTACCTGTAGACTGAAATAAATGAGGATACTTGACTCGCACAACATCTTCTATTTCCTATGTAGCTTCTTCAACAGTATGATTTCTCCATAAGACTTTAGCGAGCACAATTTCTTTTGACCGTAGCTTTCTTACTTGCCTATCAACAATAACCATCGGCTCCTCCTCGTAGGACAACTTCTCATCGAGCGGTATAGTTGGTGCTTCAATCACCTGAGATGAGTCTGACATACATTTTCTTAGCATTGAGACATGAAACACTGGGTTAATAAAGGATAACTCAGGAGGAAGTGCCAAATGATAAGCCACCGCTCCCACGCGGTCTAGTATCTCATACAATCCTATAAACCTGGGGCTCAGCTTGCCTCTTTTCCCAAACTGCATTACACCTTTCATAGGGGAGACTCATAGGAACACTTTGTCTCTAATTGTGAACACTTTGACATACATTTTCTTACTTTCTCTTCTTCTCTTATCAACATAAGACTTTTGTCTGCTTTGAGCTGCAAGCAATCTCTGTCTGATCAACTGGACCTTGTCCATAGCTTCTTGTACAAGGTCGGGTCCCAATAAGTTAGTCTCACCAGCTTCAAACCATCTGATAGGAGAACGACATCTTCTACCATACAATGCTTCGTACGGTGCCATTTGAATACTGGACTAGAAGCTATTGTTGTAAGCAAATTCAGCTAAAGGTAGATAAGTGTCCCAACTGCCTCCAAACTCAAGAATGCAAGCTCTCAACATATCCTCCAAGATCTGAATAGTACATTCAGACTGCCCGTCTGTCTGTGGATGAAATGCAGCACTAAGATCTACTCGTGTACCCAATGCTTCTTGAAAAGATTTCCAAAAGCGTGAAGTGAACAGTGATCCTCTATTAGAAATGATGGATACTGGAACTCCGTGAAGCCGTACAATTTCGTTCATAGATATCTGTGCATACCTAACTCCACCATATGTAGTCTTCACCGGCAAAAAGTGTGCTAATTTCGTTAGTCGATCTACAATCACCCATACCGAGTCATAACCTCTAAGGGTTTGTGGAAGCCCGATGACAAAATCCATAGTAATTCTTTCCCATTTCCACTCTGGAATCTCAATTTGTTGTAGTAGTCCTGCGGGTCGCTGATGCTCAGCCTTGACCTGCTGACAAGTCAAACAACTAGAAACAAAGTTAGCAACTTCTTTCATACCTTCCCACCAATAAAATTGCTTCAGGTCATGGTACATTTTGTGGATCCAGGATGTATAGTGTATTTAGTGTTGTGAGCTTCTTTTTTATAATAGCATGTCTCAACCCATCTACGTCAGCTACACATAGCCTCTCACCCATTCGAAGAACACCATCACTTTCAACAGGCATATCCTTGCTTTTACCAGCTAAGACCTTATCTCTGTATTTACATAATTGTTCATCCTCATATTGGGTGGCCTTAATGCGCTCAACTAATGAAGACTTAGCCTAAGCACAAGCCAACAATGCCTCTGAATTTCCGACACTGAATCTGATACCTGTATCTTCTAGTCTCTGAATATATTTGGCTAAAAGTCTCTTTGAAGGGGATATATGTGCCAAATTCCCCATAGATTTTCTACTCAATGCATCAGCCACCACATTGGCTTTTCCAGGATGATACAAAATAGAACAATCATAGTCTTTGAGTAGTTCCATCCAACGACGTTGTCGAAGATTTAGATCTCTTTGTTGAAAGATATACTTTAGACTTTTATGGTCAGTATAAATCTCACAAGTTTCGCCGTATAGATAATGTCTCCAAATTTTTAGAGCAAACACCACTGCAGCCATCTCCAAATCATGTGTAGGATAGTTTTTCTCGTGCTTTTTCAATTGTATCGAAGCATAAGCTATAACACGACCATTTTGCATGAGAACACATCCTAATCCCACCCTCGAGGCGTCACAGAATACTGTAAATCCTCCAGAACCTGATGGTAAGGCTAATATTGGAGCAGTTGTCAAACATGTTTTACGTTTCTGAAAGCTTTGCTCACATTCTTCCGTCCACTGAAACTTTGCATTTTTCTGTGTTAGCTTGGTCAGCGGTGATGCTATTCTGGAGAAATCCTGCACAAAATGCCTATAATAGCCTGCTAAGCCTAAAAAGCTGCGAATCTCTGTAGGAGAAGTAGGTCTGGGCCATTTCTGCACAGCTTCGGTCTTCTTAGGATCTACCATAGTTCCATCTTTAGATACAATATGTCCCAGAAATGATACCGAGTCTAGCCAGAATTCACACTTCAAGAACTTAGCATAAAGCCGATGTTCTCGCAATGTCTGCAACACAGTCTTGAGATGATTCTCGTGTTCTCCTTGGCTACAAGAATATATCAGGATATCATCAATAAATACTATTACAAAGCTATCCAAAAACGGCTTGAACACTCTATTCATTAAATCCATGAATGCAGTTGGAGCATTTGTCAGTCCGAAAGGCATCACAAGAAACTCCTAGTGCCCGTATCGAGTTCTGAAAGCAGTCTTAGAAATATCTTCATATCTTTGATTCTAAGTTGATGATAACCAGAACGGAGGTCAATCTTTGAAAAGTGGACAACTCCTTGTAACTGATCAAACATGTCATATATACGAGGCAAAGGATATTTATTGCGTATTGTTATCTTGTTCAACTACCTGTAGTCAATATACATTCTCATGGATCCGTCTTTCTTCTTTACAAACAGTACTGGTGCACCCCATGGGGATACACTAGGTCTAATAAAACCCTTATCTAACAAATCTTGTAACTGTTGCTTTAGCTCCCTCAACTCTACTGGTGCCATTCGATATGGGGTATCGATATGGGCTGTGTGTCAGGTAGCAAATCAATACCAAAGTCTATTTCTCGTATTGGAGGCAATCCTGGTAAATCCTCAGGAAATACATCAGAAAATTCTCTCACTACGGGCACATTTTCTATACTAACTGTTTCCTTTCTTGTGTCATTTACAATAGCTAAGATAACCAAGCAACCTTTCTTCAGAAGTCGTTGAGCCTTCATAAAAGATACAATTTTGCAAGTCTCTAGAACCTGACTCCCTCTTAGAATAAAACTGGGTTCATCTGGTATCTCAAACTTAACTATCTTTGCATGACAATCAACTATAGCATAGCAAGAAGATAACCAATCCATTCCCATCAGCATGTCAAAGTCAATCATATCAAGTACAATAAGGTCAGCTAGGGTATCTTTACCCTAAACCCAAACCTGACAAGCACGATATACGTATTCAGCTAATAGAGACTCTCCAACAGGAGTAGCAACTAGAAAAGGATCATTCAATAGCTCGGGTTGTCTACTAAATCTCAAAGCAAAGTACGAGGACACATAGGAGTGGGTGGATCCCGGATCAATCAACGCAAGTGCATCAAATGAACAGAAAGAAAGAATACCTGTAACCACTACATTCGAGGCCTGAGCATCCTGTCTAGTAAATGCAAAAACTCTCGCCTGACCTATTCCAACATTGCCTTGTCCTTGATTCACATTATCACGGTCTCCAATACCTCGACCTTTATTTCCCGTACCTGTAGCACCTGAAGTATTACGAGTAGTCTGAGTCGGTGCAGCTGACTGAATAGAAGCCTGGTTGAAATTTCTCGGAGGCTGAGGGCAATCCCTCAAGTAATGTCCCAACTGGCCATACCAAAAGCACTCTCTAGTTAGAACATGACATTGGCCCAAATGTGATCTACCACAAGTCTGGCAGACTGGAGTAGTGGCATATATCTGCCCAGAATTTCGATGTCCAGAAGATGATGGTCCCTTATTACCTTGTCTGTAATGTAGTCTGTATGTGGACTGTGAAGACATGTGTGTCCATGTCTGAGAACCCTGTTATTGTTGTTGCCCCTGATTTCCTGCTCTTCTATTTTCACTAAAACCACCACTGAAAGCCCCTCCTGTCTTGGCTTTCTTACGTAAATCATTAGCTGCACGTTCCTCACGTCCCTTGTTTTCAATCTTTCTAGCAAGGTCGACTACATCAGAGTAGGATAAAGTCTTCATCTGTGGGGCTACTGTAGTGTATAGACGACCAACCAATCCATCAACAAACCTCTGAACTCGAGCTTCTTCGGTAGGCACTAAGTGAGGAGCATATATAGCCAGCTTACAGAACTTAGTATTATATGTTGACACATCCATATCAGGAGTCTGAACCAATCTCTCAAAGTCTCTAGCATATTGTTGCATCAGACTGTCTAGAAGAAAATGATTCTTGAACAACTTAGTGAACTCGTACCATGTCAGTGGTGGTGCTCCTGCTGGCCTTCCTAGCAATACCGTTTCATACCATGTGTTGGCCATATCCTCTAGTTTGTATGCTGCGAGCTCCACGGCTCTCTCACTAGAACATCCAAGAGCACGTAATGCCTTGAGTGTCCCATCCAAGAAACTTTGAGGATCCGCTAAATTATCGAAACCTGTGAATTTTGGTGATTTCAATTTCAGGAACTCGTGTAGGGACACTTCCTTATTCCCGAAAGGCTGCGTCTGTGTAGGTGCTTGTGTTTGTAAAGTAGCCTGAGGAGCTGAACCTCCGCCCTGAGTAGGCACCAATGCCTCTAACACATTCAATAACCTTGTCACTGCATCTACAGGTAAGGCAACAATAGGTACAACAGTTGGCACTGGTGGGGGAGTGTTCTGAACTCCCTGCCCTTGCACTTGATCTGGCATAACAGCTTGGGTTTGACCCATGTTCCCAATTTGGGGTTGAGGAGCAGTCTGTCTTCTAGTTTGATGAACCCCAACTTGACCGCCACCCCGGGTAGCACCACGTCCAGCAGATGAGGGTGTACGTGTCCTAGCCATCAGCGAAAGAAATATTCCAAAGTCAATCTCAATGCACGATCAAAGAATGAAAGAAGGAAAAAACATTCCTAAATGTTCAGTAGCCTAGAGATCATAAGTATGGTCGCCTACATACCCATGAACAAGACTCTACTAAACATTGCTCCATGACTCGGGACTTAAAGCCTAAGCTCTGATACCAACTTTGTCACGACCCAATTTAGGATTGTGACCGGCACTTAGGAGCAAGTGCTCCCAAGTAAGCCTCATCGGTAATTTTACAGAAAATAGGGCAGAGTTTCCCCTGTTTTTGGACCATCCCAAAAAAATTTCCTGTCTTAAATCAACAACCAAACATCCTAATATCATACCAAACAATTGACAACTTGTCAATTAACCAATACAAGTCTCTACCATAACTAAATCACCAACTAACCACTAGAAATACTAATTTATCTCCAACTTCGATAAATGAGAACAATACTCAACATAAGACTATAATAACAAAAGAATACTCATGACACTAAAATACTGAATATGGAGCAACTCTAAGAGTTCAATGAAAAGACCATAACAATAAATAAAATCTTTGCCTACGCGAACAAGTGCGAGGCTCACCAAGAATTCTCAACCTGTGCGCTCTAATTAACGAGATCCTCGCCTGCGTCAGCTGTTGTCTCTATAAAAAAATTTAGCGGGGAATGAATCGCTAGCTCCGTGAGTAATAACACTTAACCACAACCGTTTTTATTTGGGGACAAGTCAGAAAACATGTTAGTATCTCAAACAGATAACATCAAAATGCCCTTTCAGAAATAATAAATAATTTTCAGTCTCATCATACTTTTCTTGTAGTATAATACAATTAACAGTTCAGTAATAAGCTCGGTAACCACTGTATAACATCAATATTCACATTTTTGGGAGGTTTCAATGAACGGATCATGTATTCGGTATAACTGTGGACTTCTTTGCAAGAAGTCATATATAACGGTAGTCCCTACTCGAAGAAAATCGGTAACAGTAAGCTAGTTCTACCTTCCCACTAGCGAGGGCTAAAACAGTAATTGGTAATTACAAGGTGCACCAGGTCTAACGAACCCACTGTTAGCTACGGGATCCTTCAATGTCTACTCCCATTTATACTTGTCTCTGTAATCCACATATACTCGTAGAAAATAATTTAAAACAATATAGGGAATTTAGGTATTTATCAAATCATATAATTTCCTTTCGATAACAGTAAATTCAAGAAACGGTCAAATAGATCTAGTGACACAAAAATATTTAAAACCACGATATTTATCTCAAATAACTATTTCGGTATCATATCGTGTAAAAAACTTGTCCCACATGCAACTCAAAATAATCGGTAACATATTCATATTAAAAATCATGTGTAAATCATGAAAGTTATGAAAACACAAATTGCGGTAAGATTACTACTCACAGTACTCGTGCCGAAATACTAAATGCTTCACCTCGAGCAATTCGTACAAATTCCTCCAATCAATCTATAATTACATAATATCAATCTCATGTTAATTTCCTTGTTTAGGATAATTCATAGCTAATTTAGAATACCCAATCTTCGGGGTTCATGTTTGTATCTTAATTTGTGGACTTATATTTACCCCCATATGAGTAATTACTAATTTATCAACTCCAACCTATTCATATAATTTATTACTCCAAATTTCATAAAGTTCTATTGGTTCTTTAGGAAGAAAATTCTCAATTGTGTGAATGAACTAGTGTAATTTCTATTACTCTGTAGAATCTTCCAATCAAGAGAATCGAAATTAAAATCTACCAGAAGAAAAAGTTCAAGTAATACCCGTAAGAGACAATTTGTGCTTAAGATTCCTCAACAGTTATAATTATGGCTCCAATATACTGCACCCACTTCTTCCTCCTTCTTTTCTCTTTTCCTTCTTTCTTCCTCTGCTATTTTTTCTTTTCATTTTTTTCCTCTATTTTGAAGCTTTCTGCTTCGTTTCAAAGTTAATAAAGCTTTCTGCTTCGTGTTGTTAACCCTTTTTAAAGCCTTTGTTGGCAGGTTAGGGTAATGGGCCCCTTTCGGCCCTTTTTTGCTTTTCTTATGTTTTTTTTACTATTAGTTCTTATTTTATTTTTAATAGATGGTTGCTTATTATTATTATTATTATTATTATTATTATTATTATTATTATTATTATTATTATTATTATTATTATTATTATTTATTATTATTATACTAATGACCAATACACCCTTATTAAAAATATAGGGTATTATACATGAAGTTGTTTAAACAATGAGTACAGATTAAAACTTTTTTAAAAAGTGGGTATAGACTAAATGGGGACGACCAAATAGGGCGTCTGTGCAATTTTTACTTAATAAAAGGGTTTTTGCTTTTACATATTACTCTCACTTAAAATCGAAAAAAAAAAGTTCTATTATACACCACTTAAAACAAACATTCTTTTCAGATAACGGAAAAGCTCCAAATATGTCATTATACTATACGAAATTGAGCACATTTGCCCTTCGTTGATACTCTAGCTCAAGAATGTCTTTACCGTCACATAGTTGGTTCATATATGACCTTACCGTCACAATTGGTCCATATATGCCCTCTTTCGAAACAGAATCAATCTAAATTTCTGAGGACATGACACTTGATAGGAAGTTGTGGAGGTCGAGTATTACGGTTGTAGGCTAGGAGGTAGTTGAGTCTTGCGTTACTTTGTACATTTGTGAGCCTAGTCCGGTAGGGTTTTGTCTAAGAGAGCTAGGGGCAATGTTGTGTCTTACTATTTTCTTTTTCGACGTTGGATCCATTTACTAGCCACATTTTTCTTCTGCATTTTATGTTCTTATTTTTCCTATGATCTCCGTGATGAATCTAATATTCTCTCCTTTTATCTTCTTTTTATTATCTTGAGCCGAGGGTCTTTCGGAAACAACCTCTCTACCTCTTCGGGTAGGGGTAAGGTCTGCGTACACACAACCCTCCCCATACCCCACTTGTGAAATTTTACTAGGCTGTTGTTGTTGTAATTGTATTAAAGTGTATTACAAACACTATTTTCTTTTTGTTAGTATTTTTGTTCTTTACATTTCTCTTTCTTTCTTCTTTTTTTTTTCCTTTTCTTTGTCCCATATTCGATTTCCTCCATTGGTGATGCCTTCTCCATTTTCGCCACCAATTTCACTTGAAAAACTCATGAATTCCTACCTTCACTCAATTAACACCACCAAAAAAATTTCTCCAATAATTTTATCTCCTTCTTTTCAGAAGAACCAAAGCCTTCTCGTTGGTAAGCTTTTGGTGGTGTAGGTTTGATTTTTGGGAATAAAATCGCGTGAAATTGGTGACGGAAATAGAGGTTCTGGTCTTATTGAATGTGATGGAAAATATGAGAATATGGAATGAACGTGGTGGGTTTGTGATAGTAAAATTAGTAGGAATTTATGAGTTTTGTCAAGTGAAATTGGTGATTAAAATGGAGAAGACATAAGCAATGGAGGAAATCAGATATGGGAGAAAGAAAAAGGAAAAAAAAGAAAAGAAAAGAAAAAAAAAAGAAAGAAAAGAGAAAGGAAAAGGAAAAAAAGTACTAATAAAAAGGAAATAGTGTTTGTAATACATTACAATTAACAAAAACTAATTAGTTTGGGTGGATTCCGTTTCAAAAATGGCATATATGGACCAATTTTGTGACTGTAACAACATATATAAACCAACTATGTGACAGTAAGGATATTCTTGAACTAAAGTATTTACGAAGGCTAAATATGCTCAATTTCATATAATACAAGAAAATATTTGAACCTTTTCTGTTCAGATAATAAGTCCTGTGACTTTCTGTTTTGGTAGTCCTTTTTTGGGTCTCAAATGTCATCGATTGTCATTGGTTACTGATGGAATAAATCGATCGAAAAGGAAAACTCTTCGATCTTGTTAACGCATATATTGGCTTTAATGATTAACAATCTACTTTCGGCTTAAATTAAATAAATGTAATCGATATTAATTTAATAAAGAAATATTAAGTCCGATAACATATGTCACTTATGCAAGAAAGTCAAAGAACGGAGAGTGAAAGTGCGTGCACATGACTTTTAGAAAAAAATGATATATATATATATATATATATATATAGTCAAGGGGTTCTAGACCTATGATATTACGACTTGATGGACTAATTTTGTGGAAACTGATGATGAGGATTATTAGCTAGAGTCGTCCCTTTGAAAATTGAAAGAGAGGTGGGAAAGAAGAGGAAAAGGAGGAAAACAAAATGTATGGTCCCGCCACACTTAGTGTGTGTTTGGTATAAAAGAAAATATTTTTCATGAAAAATATTTTCCTAGAAAATATATTTATGGAAAATGAGCGGTTTTATTACTTGTTTTTCCTTGTTTGGTTGGTGAGCGAAAACCTTTTTTCTGAAAAATATTTTCTAGTATTTGGTTAAAGAGTAGAAAATATTTTTTAGGAAAATTAACTTTTTATGCTACTTTCCTCATCCTCCTTCCTCTTCCCCTCCCCCCAAATACCCAACATCTTCGTGACTCTATTTTCTTTAAGAATTTAATTATTCTTCTAAAAATTTACACTAACCCGAACTAATGTGTTACTTTATTTTTTTTTACACAAAAATAACATTGAAATTTGTGCTCTTTTTGTTGACAATAAAGTACTATTCTACAATATAAAAATAAAGTAATCATTTTGTTGAAATGAAAGAAATACTTTTTCTACATACAACAACAACAACAACAACAACAACAACCCAGTATAATCCCACTTATTGGGGTCTGGGGAGGGTAGTGTGTACGCAGACCTTACCCCTACCCTGGGGTAGAGAGACTGTTTTCAAATAGACCTCCGGCATCCTTCCCTCCAAGAACTTCTCACCTTGCTCTTGGGGAGACTCGAACTCACAACCTTTTCTACATAATGAAAGAAAATACTCATTTTGTTGAAATGAAAGAAAATACTTTTTCAACATTATGAAAAGAAAATACTCATTTTGTTGAAATAAAAGAAATACTTTTTACTACATCATTTGTTGAAATGAAAGAAAATATTTTTTCTACATCATGAAAAAAAACTTTTTATATATCGTGAAAAGAAAATATTCACTGGTTGAAATGAAAAGAAAAAAAATATTCTATATATAACCTAAAAAGAAAGTACTATTAATAATATTTCTATTTATGGTGGGGGTGAGTGAGTTGGGGTGGCGTGAGTTGGTGGGGATGAGGAATGTGAGAAAGGTTGGAAAAGAGTTTTGGAAAATATTTTCCTTCTCTTGATAAAGAAAATATTTTTCTCTAATTGGAGGAATATGAATTCATGAGGAAAATATTTTCCAAAACATTTAAGCCAACTTAATATGAGAAAATTAAAAAATATTTTCCAGACAATATTTTCCTTCGTACCAAACACACCCATAAAGAAGATAATATTGATATTCACTAAAATTAGAAAATTCAAGGAAGCAAGTTTACTGGATGAAGACCTCACCTCTGAAAGTTGCACTATTTTTCTGTTGCTTGCTTCGCAAAAAGTTGCTTGACATAACCAAAATCGTGCCAAAATATCGACCCAACTTGGACTGTTATGTCAAATTAAGCAATTATAACCTAAGGGCCCGTTTGTCACTTTCCTTTTTTTTTTTAAAAAAAGTACTTGTCCATAAAATTTTGAAAATTTGTTTTTAAATTTTTTTTAGAAATTTGTGTTTTCCCACTCACAAGACTGCAACATTTTTCAAGTGAAATGCAAATTCAAACATAATTTCAAATTTCAAATACCATTTTTCAACTTAACTCTAAATACTATTTTTTTAAATTACAATTTTTATGTCCAAACGCCTAACTAATAATTTGAGTATAAGTTCTGTTTTTCTTTTTTTGGAAAGAGAGTGACCTCGTGAATGGTGATATTGGTCTTGACCCTCCGTCTCATACTAATAGTCGTGGTTACTAAAATAATTGTCTCGAATTATTTATCATTTTAGAAGTTTAACATAAAATTGATTATTTTTCCTTTTTTATCTTTAGCAATAATTATTTTTGAAGATGGAGATAACACATAAATAGAATAAATATTTAATGAAAAATGATTATATCTTAGGACATAAATAAGGGTAGAATAATTCAATCCCGGTTTTAATGAACTTATAAAAAAAATATGATACATGATATGAGACAGAGAAAGTACCAATTGTCTTGTCATTGGGCGACAAATGGGGGCGGTAGTAGAATGAGCCATATCGAGTTAAGTTTTAATCTGTCTAAGGTAGGACAAATAAGTCTTACCTTTCTTTCTCTGTTTTTTTTTTTGTTTGTTTTTTTGTTTTTTTTTTCTTCGTTTTGCGTTCATTTACCTTTCCTGTTTGTAAGCACTTTGAGCCAGATTATAGGATAAATGATTAAACCAAATTAAAAATTGCACCAAATCGAAATGTCAAATTAAGTCGATTAAAAAATTTGATTAAATTTGAGTAAAAAAATTCGAATCAAACCAACATATAAATATATAACTTTTATATATACTTTTAAGACTTTTCATGGAATTTTCTTTAAAAAATATTTAAAAATATTGCAATTATCTTATGGGAGGTAATATTTAGTTAAATATAAAGTGCTCTATTTTTATTAACTTTAAATAATGGGATGTATGATAACTTTCTTATCAAGTACTATTAGTGAAATGCATCAATATCTTTGTTCTTCCATATTCAAATGTCAAGATCTATTAAATTTTTATATCTTTTTCGAATTTGAAGTGGTATTTCGATAATTTAAAATTAAATAAAATATATTATTAAATAGGTATCATATTGATTTTTATGTTTAATTATTAATTTCAGTTAACCTTGAAAGTGTATGCAGCAAAAAATTATTGTCAAGCGACTAAAAAAATAACTATCATATATTACTAAGAAAATTCTCCCATAACAATATGTTAATAGATCATATGT